TTTTTTTGCACCGGTCCTGGAAGCACTGGAATACCAGGTCAATGCATGGAGTGGATGGAGCAAGCTCCAGTTCCATCACCCCATACCAAAAAAATCTGCTCAATATAGACCTCCTATGGAGGACATATTAGAGACAATCACCTGCCCTGGGGAGCCCGCCTACATGGTCACGGTGCTTCCTCTGCCAGGTAAGTATCACAAGAATAAGCTAGTGAAGGCAACCTGAATATATGGTAGTGTCCCTTAAGCACAGTCCTCCTTAGAAATAACTCTTTTTTCAGGTCATAGTGAGCCAGCACATTGAATACATTTTGACTTCCTTTTCACTCCCACAGCTGAGCTGCACCTTTCTTTCCCACTTTCAATAATTCCTATTTCTTAGCCAGCCTTAAGTGCCTGGCAAACATCACAAAATGGGGCCCCAAACAGTTCGCCCAGAATTCCTCTTTTGCCCCCTCTCTCAGCCAGGCACATACAATTCACGTGGCTCTGCCTTCCGTGAGGTGAAGCCAGACCAGGCTGCCCTGTACCTTATCTGCATATACATTTTTGGAGCATCTCACAACTCATAACAAGAACACTGGGTGCCAATTATGACTGGGGGTTAATTAGCACATGGATCTTTGTTGGGGGGGGCATTATCTGGAGCACACACACACACTAAGCACTGCTGAGCAGTGGGGTCACCTTGGCTTGAAATGCTGTTGACTCTGGTAGGGCCCAGCCCAATAAACTATATGGAATATCACAAGCTTTGAGTTAATATGCTGCATGGCCAAAGTCTTGGCCGAGGAATTCAAATCCGTCATACATGCTATAATACATGAAGGCCAGTCATGTGTGGTGCTAGGGTGACATATCCACAGGGTGTGAAATGTGGTACCGATAGAAGAGAAGACTGAATACTGCTGTGCTGAACATTGACCTGGAGAAAGCCTATGACCGAGTGTCCCACTAGTTCCTGTTTGAGATATTGAGGATGGGGGTTTCCTCAACCTTTATTACCTATATAAAGTTGCTATACACCAATGTGAGAAGCAGGGTGCTGGTGAATGGGTTTCTGACTGTCCTTATCACAGTGGAGTCAGGTGTCTAGCAGGTTTACTCACTTGCCCTGATCCTATTCATCTGCACAGTGGAACTGGTATAGCTCTGCAGCTCAGATGAATTAAAGATCCCTGGGGGAAACAAGACAGAAACAAGGGTCCTAGCCTACATGAATGTCCTCAGTGTCCTATGCTGTGACAAGTGCTCAGCAGAAAAAGTGTTACAACACACCCAGATATACGTATCAGAGCTGAATGGACAGAAGGAGTGGGAAAAGACCAAGGATAAAAATCAAACAGAGACTGAGACTGTGGAGCATGCACTGCCTGTCAATGGGGGGCATGTGGCACTCATAAGGGCAGCGTTGCTACCAGTGCTTCTGTACACTGTGCTAATACTTTACAGAACTGTAAAGATATAGGGATATATTTTTGTAAAAAAAAAAAGAATAGTTTGCACTATACATAGTGAACTAAGATCAAGTGAGACTAGGAGCATCTGTACCCCAAGGCCTCTGGGCCTGAGCCTTGCATGTAGGATGCCTGCCTGGGTTTGGGGAATATTCAAAACCCCAGACCAATGTGTCTGGGAAGGCAGATATTTGCCTGGTGACAGAGCCACACAGACTTGATGATTCTGCTCAGCTGAATTTTGGAACTTGACTATTGGATTTTCCCCAGTCAAATCTGAAACTGATTTGGCCTTGATAAAGATTTTAAAAAGCCAAAATATAACTTGTATTACATACAAGTAGGTGCCAAAGTTGCTGCTCAAAAGTGTGTTTATGGAGTACCTGTGCTAAAACTTCTAGTTTCAAAAAAAAGGTAACATGTATCAACTCTGGATGAATTAAGGGCATGGGTACTATATGCAAATTGCTATAGCCATATTTAATTTCAATGCCATTGCTTTGAATTTGCTCCTCACTTCCTTGTGCTTAGGGAGAGCAAGGTCTGACAGTAAGGAAAGTGGGGGAGGGGCTGCTAGGGGAAAAGGTTGGAGGAAGCAGAGAGCAAAGGGGCCACCTGACTCCCCAGATTTATTTTCTCTGCTGTGGCAGTGAGACGGGGCAAATTCAAAGCAAACTTCCAATAATTACATTCTATACCTGGAAAGCTATAATAAATTTATAAATTGTCCATATATAGAATCTAATAATTGGGGGTCATCTTCTACTTGAGTAAATATGGTATTTGATGACTGCAATGCTAAGGAGAAAGCAGGAGTTAGCAGCTAAACAACAGGCTAGGATAATTTAGCAAGGGAGTCCTAAACTGCAGTACGTATACAATGCCCCATTCATTCACCCCACAGTCTTTTTAAGAAGGTGCTATATTAACTAAGAGGCTAGGTACAGATGGTCAAAAAGCCCAAGGCCAAATTGATTCAGTCTTTGCAGGTTAGTTTAAACTGTCCCAGATTAGACTGAAACAGAAGTGAACAGACTACCTTTGATACAGGAAATACAAGCACTTGCCTGCTGTGGCTCAGGCCAGAAGCCCAAGGGCACTAGAGCATGGCTCTCTGGCTATATGTTCACTTCCTCTTCCTGCTGCCCCTAAGATCTCTGAGATTTGCAGTCCAGAATTACAGCAGCAGGACTCTACAAGGTTGCTCAGCACTTCCTCTTTCTGCTTCCAGGTGCCTCTGGGATTTGTAGTCCACAGTTGCATCCAGCAGAAAGTTTGAGCAGGGGAAGGGGTCTTTAACCCCTTCCCCCAGTCCCAGATGGGGTTTGTCTGGTGGGAGGACAGTCCCTCCCCCCCTTGCAGACTGGGCTGCATCCCCAGCCAGGCTCCCTGTCAGCCAGCTCTTATTGCCCCAGCTAGGGAGTAGAGGGGTGGGGCCAGCCCTGCTTTCTGGAGCAGACAGTCCAGCCCAGGGCTGAAAAGCATATTGGGATGCTGAAGGACTGTGATTTAACTTGAACCAGGAAGGTAGAGTTTGGAATCCTCTAACCTAGATGATATGAAGAAAATAACCTTTGCAGGCCATGTCCAGTCTCCCTTGCTGGATGTACTGCCTCTTCCTTCCTTCCTTCAAAGACAAGTTGCCACTAGGTCTCTTGATTTACTTTTCTGCAGGCTCTGGAAAGGTAGCACTTGGCCTGTTTAATTTTTTTCTTCCATATCTTATTGGGAGAATGCTGTTTTCAAATGCCCTTGAACATTGTTTCACATTTTTATATATAAGGCTTTTCTTCTGAGATAATTTATTAACCTAGCTCTTATGCCTTCTTCATTGTCTTTCTTAAAGAGGTGAAGACCACAAAGATAACAACAGGAAGAACATGCCTCAAAATTTAACAAACAGAAACAAGCTCTGGGGTGGAAGGGGGGAAGATGGTACCAAAATAGCTTTATCCTCAGAGCTGTGTATCATTTTCAGTCTAGTTTACATCTATGGGAGAAAAGAAGGGTTAGCTTTACAAAGCACGCAGTAGGAAATGCACAAGAAAGTTAGATTATGTTTATCTGCTCAGAGTGAAGAGAAAAAGAAAAACTGACTAAACCTGGCTTTAAAGCTACTTGCAACTCAACCCATCAAGTTATAGCTAGTTTCAAATGACTAGCGAATAAAATTCACAGTTGGGTGGTCTATGTTTCAGTGAAATAAGTAACAACTACATGAAAAATAAATAGAAAAAATCCTATTTTAATTAAACATCCTTAATGTTTTATACATAGTACAAAAATTCATACAAAGTACACAATGATATATTGCTACAGTATCAAATTGTAGGATTGTAGCTATGGGGTAAAAATGGGATAAGAAATGTTAGGTGCATATTCATCTTATTTCAGAGAAATACACACATTTTATTTTGATTTATAAGACTTAATCAAGCCTTTGTTTAAAATTTGCATAGCATTATCCTTTTGCTTAGCAGAGCAGCTTGTCTTTGCAAGCAGAGTTCTGTTGCATAAAGCCAGCTGCTTTTTCTTCTAGCATTTACATACTCATTTCACTCCAGCACAAATAACTGCATTACTTATACCAGAGCATACTGTATTTACTTGCACATGACATACACCATTTCCCCCACAAAATTAGCTGCTGGAAGTTGGGGTGTCTGTGGGGAATGGAGGGACTGATTCTGTGACAACTGAACTGTCTGGCACCTTTTTGAGCCAGGGGGTAGTGAGTGGCACCTCTTGAGTCTGCTGAGGCCAACCCACCTCAAGAATCAGAGCTGGGCAGTTCACTGCAGCCAGTGGTGTCAGCTGAGGGTCCGATGCTACTGGAGAAGAACTGCTTGGCTCTGCTTCTCAAGCAAAATGGACCCCTCGTCCTGCACCTAGGGGGTTAATAGAGCAGCCACAGGTTTTTGTTCTGTTTCATCCCTACTGCAGCTGCCTGTTTTTTCCTTGTGAAAATACCCCACTTACTGGTGTTTTCAAGAAAAAAATCTTTTTTGTCCCTTCATTCCACCTTCCAAAAATAAGGCACATGTCTTACGTGGAAGTATGCTGTAAGTGAGAAAATATGGCATCAGGAGCAAGGAGGAAAAGCAGGTCTGAAAAGGTTATAATGAACATAGGTCCAGATTAAGCAGTAGCAGTTTCATATGCAGGTGTTCTGAAAAACTTAGAAATAGGTATATTTTAGCAGAGAGGGACTCGGGTAGGTTCACATGGTCAGACAAGTTCTAGATAAACCTGCACACGCAAGCTGAACTTCTTAGTGCTGGTTAAAGTGCAAAAAGGTTCTGAAAAACTACAACATTCACTTTTCTTGTAAAAAGTGGATATTGTAGTATTTACTTGAAATTCTTTTGCCAGACTATACTCTCAGCCTTGGCAGAGGATGAAGGTTGAACCAATGTCAAAAGATCTGACAATTGAAATCTGAATTCCCCTTGGGATCAGTGAACTCTGCACCTTCAGTTGTTTATTCCTCTTACCAGAGCATTTGTCCCACTGATATCAAGTGCAACAAGCAAATGAAGAGCATATCCACTTGTTCATCTTCCTTCCCCTCCACTTCTTCCTTAGGGGTCTGATGACTCACTAAGAGACCTGTTCTCTTCTCAGCGGGAGTCAGGTACAGAGTACACAAATGTGGAAACTGGTTTTCAATGAGGTGAAATGATGTGTCTTACTCTATTGATTGGAGTAATGCGAGTTGAATTGGTTGGTAATGTTACCTGTCTAATGATTTGTCTGTGCTGCAGTAATTACAGCGACTATGTTGAGTCTTACCAAAAAAGTAAACAGCCCCAGTGTATGGGGGCCAGTTTAACGAAATGTTGGCTGAAAACAGATCTAAAACACCTGTGCACTATGAACACACTCCTGGGGTTACTATCACATGTGGCAATACACCTTTGGCATAACATCAAAAGGACTTTTACCAAGAGAAATAAGCAAAACTGAGATTGTATTGACTCCAAGGGCTCCAGGAGCAGTCCACGTATGTATCTCAGTACCCAGATACAGCTGACCCTCCAACTGTATTGGCAGCCTTATCTCGGATTGTTCTTGATCCTTACTTCTGAACCACAAATAAATAGAAGGAAGCGTGAAGCTTCCTCCTGCTGCTTTGGCATCCTTATGCCCCCAGGACTCCAGACAGCATTATTCAAGTGAATAGACTTTGAAGACTATGCTTTTGAACAAGGTAAATGGCATGTTGTATTCTGAAGAGAAGGGAGTGAAGAATTAAAATGGCTTAACTTGGCTCTGGACTGTTCAGCATGAACAGCTTTGGCTCAGAGAGAAAGCTATATCTTTTCACTTAATTACCTTTTACTGAAGTACAAAAATTCAAGGTATGAAAACACGGTGTACTTATATTTCTGAAATGCTTGGGAACACAAGTGTTGTAAGTTCATTTATTGTTTACTACTGAAAATTTTTAAAAAATGACAAATGGGGTGGCACTTTTATTAGATTAATACAGGCAAAGACTGAAAAGTAACACCCTTTTCACCAGGCTACTGGCTACACCTCTGAACACAGCAGTATAGCATGGTTGAATATGGATTCAGTTATAAGTGAGATAGCATGATGCTCATCTATTGCTACACTCATTTCTGTGCCTGTTAGCCTGATGAAAGACATTTTGTTTGAGCTCTTGCTACATTAAGCATTTCTCATAAAATATTGAAGGATTTGTAGAACTTCTTTCTTCACTGGACAGGAAAGCAGCATCAGTAGCCCTCTCTGTGCTCTGCCTTTTATATTGCAGCTGCAGTGGAGCCCTAGCACATGAGGGAACAAGTTCCAGTATCTACTGAAGCATAAACCTCACTAGCAGCTACTAGCTGTCATCATTCTAGGTTCACAGGAAATCTCTCATACTTGTTTTCCTTGCAGTCTTAAATTATGTAACTAAGCTGCATCCAAAAATATAGAATATGCCGAAGAACTGGTACCCTGGGCGAAAATAGGGAGAGACATGGTTGTTGCTTTAAGCATTCTTTTTTTCTTCCCCCCCTCCCCCCACACACTTGTGTGTGATCTT